TCCCTGTTAAAGATAATGGGCCTAATTGACAGCTTTGCTGCTGGAAATGTGGAAAGTAGCCTATCATGTCTACACTTCATGGTGTTTGAGGGATTTTCCTTTTTGTTTTTTAAAGAGGGAGACTAGGTATATTTTTGCGCAGCTGTTAATTTCTAACACAGCTCAATATCAGGATGATTTTATTCAGACTATCAATTTGGTGTTGATATGATTTAATTGTGGCGTCAGCTTTAAGCTTTATTGTAGCATATATAACGTTATGACAAAGAAGACCAATTTATCAGACGCAATGATGTTAGACGATAATTGTAGGCTAATACACGCAATTCATCTGCGCAGCATTGATTTCATGGGATTCATGGGTGTGGTCAGTGTCAGATGTACAGGTACAGGTAGCTACTGTAGCTACTTGAACCAGTGATGAGTAATTTAACCTAGACATAATTTTATTTGCTACCTTGTTTTGTCTTGATTTTTCCCTCTCTCCTCCTCTATTTCTTCTTTCCTTACCCGTTTTTTTTCTTCTCTATTATGTGATTTCATTGATGTTTTGACAGGGGAATTTCTTTGATAAGCTTTTAGTGGCTTCTAACCTCTCCGGCACTTTTCTTTTAATCTTGTAAATTTTATACTGTCTGTTTTTAACATTATGTGCAAATAAACTAATCTAAACTAAAACTAAACATTATTCATCCCGTTATGCGTTGCCACGCATGTTTCCTCCTCCTGCAGCTGCCACGCTGTTGGCCTTTTCTGTAATGTTGCTTTTCTCCTCCTCATATTTTAGTAGAATTAATCTCTGATCCTCATGAGAAATACTTTTTTTTCCCCCTCACATACGGCGCTCAGTGACGCTCAGTGACGCTGCGCTTCTCTCATGATTGTGATTGGTCCGTTGCGTGCGCGTTCACGGCTCTTGATAAAGCAACCCTGGGTTGAGTTACCGAGTGGATATCCAGCGTCGTGATACCGATTATCCCGATTGCCATTGTTAGGGTTAGTCAACCCAGGATAGGTCTGAGTAACCCAGGAAAGGTTTATCTCGCTTCATGATACAGGCCCCTGCTCGACAAATAAATGCGGAAACAAAAGACAATAAAACTAACCTAACTCCTAACTGAAAAACTAAACAACTAAAATGGCTTCTCCCTCCTACTTCTGGTGCTGCTACTGGATTAAACAAATAATTTACAATATTTACAAATGTTAAGTCTTTAAGTCTATACAAGAATTAACGGATAGCTTCTACACAAAGATGCTCTATTCACAGAATGCTATTGCAACACACAAAAGATCACTAGCACAAAATACTTAACACACAGGCTGCTGACAAGTTGGGAATGGGAGAGTGAAAGTGGGGAAGGCTGGCATCAGGTGGAGTTTCTAAACTCAGCAGCCAGCCAATCAGCCTGCAGCAACCTGGTCACATGGTTAATCACACACCTGCAGCTCATTTCACACACACACACACACACACACACACACACACACAGATTGCCACTGTAGAGGAGGGGAGGAGAAGAGAGAGCTGTCAGTACACAGAAAATACAAAGAACACAAACATAAATGCCCAGTCATAACACAGCACAGAAGATCTATCAGCAAAGTTTTGAGGCAGACACCCAAGATTAGTGTTATCAACTCAGTATCTGACCAAATGCCTCCCCTTCTGTTCCCGAGATATGATGTTGAATAATGGCCAGAAAAGAGTTTTTGCAGAATATTTAAATGTCACACCTTTGACCTTTTGTATATAAAATTTCATCACTTAATAATTATACCCTATTAGACATTTGTGTGAAATACTGTCATTATTAACCAAGAATCTTAAGTTATGGCCAAAAGCATGTTTTGTGAGGTCACAGTGACCTTGACCTTTGACCACCAAACTGATCAGTTCATTCTTAAGTTCAAGTGGACGTTTGCACCAAATTTGGGGAAACTCCCTCAAGGCCTTGTTGAGATAATATGTTTAAAAGAATGAGACGGATGCATGGTCACAGTGATCTTGACCTCTGACCACAAAAATCACATCACTTTGTTTTTGAGTCCAAGTGGATGTTTTTGCCAAATTTCAAGAAATTCCCTCAAGATATTTGTGAGATATCGCGTTTATGCGAATGACACAGATGCAAAGTCACAGCGATCTTAACCTTTGACCTTGGACCACCAAAATCTAATCACTTCCTTGTTCAGTCTGGAGCAGACGTTTGCGCCGAATTTGAAGAAATTCCCTCGAGGTGTTCGAGATATTGCGTTCACAATAAAACACATTTGACCACCAAATCTGATTAGCTCATTGTTGAGTCCAAGTGGATGTTAGTGCCAAATTTGAAGATATTCCCTCAGGGTGTTCTTCAGATATCACCTTCAGAAGAATGGGAATGATGGACGGACAGACAGCTGGGCAACCTGAAAACATTATGCTTTCAGCCACAGCTATCACCAGCATGGAGGCATTAAAAAAATGACAAAAGAAAATACAACAACAAATTTCATTTTTGTTTGTTTTTATTAACAAAGACAGACACCCTTGTTGAGGGGCACAAGTATAACATTGACATTTCTCTTTGAAAAAGTGGTGCTTGGAAAGGATTGCATTTTCTGGGTCATGAGTCTGACAGCAGATTTTTTCAGAATGCATTCAGATCAAGCTGGGGAGGCGCAAAACAACGGTACATACATTCAAGATTCTAGAGGTTCTACGGGGTAAAAATGCAGACTTTGTACCCATGCTTCATCTAAACACAGTCCATGGACAAAATAGTTGAGAGCAAAACTCAGGTGGGTTTCCATCAGCTTTATTTGTCACTCTGCACTCTGGTAATGGTAAAAGGCTTGTGTGGTTCAGAGTGCTCATGACAAGGACGAGAGAAACAGAAACCCAATATGTTTAAAAAACAAAACAAAAAAACAATACATTACAGAAACAGGCCCAGAGACCACTGGGTGCCTGTGAATGCATTTATACACATTTTTACACAGAAAAATAATGTATTCACACCTGTACAGAGGAGTACGCCTTTGTGTGCTTTCACAAGAAGGCATCTCCTTTTCCAACGTTAACTGTATACTACTGGCCGTAATGCACACCTGGCAAGTGCATGTGTGTTTATATACACTCATACATACAGTACATACACTGTTGGGAGCACAGCAGACGATTGAGGGGAGGCAGAAGGGACAGAGTGGATGTTGGGCAGTGCAGATTGTGACAAATCAAAACATTTTGGAAAACAAGTATGAAATCTAAAGACATCACACTCATTTCAGAATATTTCATAAGACCCACTGAAGAAATATGAGTCTTGGTCCTAATAATGAACAATCCTGGTAGAAAGAGTTCTCTGGAAAGTTTTGGAGCTGCCACAAGTTTTGCTTTATTCTTTGGCACACCCCTGTTGTGCCAAAAGAGGTTTCTTTATCAAACCCTTGGCATACATGAATAAAATGTATCAAATTCAACTATGTACATATAAAGATTTGTGCTCTTTCACTGACAAGCAGGCCATCTGATGCTAGCATCAATGCCCTCAAAACTCAAACTGTGATCTCACATGCACGCACCTCCCTCCCAAAAAGAGGGGAAAGGAATCATCACATGCACCACATACAAATATATACAAGTTTGCAAACATCAAGTTTTGTTAAAAAATGAGCTACAGATGCTGACAGAACATAAAAAGCTGTAGTATTATAGTAAAATGAAACTTATTATGGTAACTTGTCAAGTAATATGACCATCAGGGTTTAAAGTGGTAAAAATAATAAAAGGTAATCAAAGCTCCTCAGCCCTGTATGTATACGTCATTTATCAAACTACAGTATTTTAAAGAATGATGTTGGTTTGAATAGTAAAGAACAGGGAAACCTTAAAATGCTGCATTCAAATTGTAGCCCACTTTTCCTTATGTCAGACATATTTACTGTATCTGGAGTTAAAGGGATATTTTAACTGATTTAGCATTACTCTTCCATTAAGTTGGAGAACAACTAATATGGGTCAAGATCCCTAAGTATCCTATATATCCTATAATGCAACCCAATACCATCTGCCATTAGACCCTCCTTGCTTGGTAATGCCTCCATTTCCAACTCCACACCACCAGTTTACAACACTTTATACTTTTACATTATCTGTTAAAAAAGCTGGAGTCTCCAGGCCCAGTAAAGATAACTCTCATGACATCATCTAGGTCAAAATCTCAGGAAAACCCACTTAAAATAGTGTATTGATGTCTTCCCCATTGCCAGTAGAACAGTGTTGTGTACACTGCTCTGCTGCAGACAAGTATGCCTTTCTGCGTGTTTTTCTTTTAGTTTGTTTGTCACTGGTGTGTCACGTCTGATGTTACAGCTGGCCAGAAGACAGGTTAATAAACAGCAGAAAGCAGCATGGAGGCCTGTGAAACTGATACGGTGGTTACTTCTTTTCCTACTTATTCAGTCTCTCTTTCAAACTCAGTGCAGACTCACTTGTTGTAGCGCTGCTTGGGCAGAAATGGATGGTATTTTGTAGTTGTGCGTCAGTGCATCTCGCTGGTAAAGGTAGCTAAAATTAGTGTGTTCACCTGGGTGTTGCATTTCCATTACTGCCAATTGGAGCCACAGTCATTTGACGTGGGTATGAATGCCGATTGTAACCTTTCCCATCACATATATAAGCCAGGTGTAAGCAGGTGTTTTGGGGGTTTTGTTCAGTGGGAAACGGGCAATTTTTTTTACAATTCACAGGCTGAAGAGTGCTTCTTGTGACAAATTAACTGATTTTTGTGTGTAAAATTGGTGACATGCCTATTTATATATAGGAATTTAAATCAGCTAACAACACAAACTAGGCCCCAAAAACCTGAGCTGCAGCCAATAGGTCTTGGCCAACAGCACTGTTTTCCACCCAAGTTTCCCTGGTGGGAAATGTATGCATTCTGTAGATGAGTTTATTGTGCATACAGAGCAGATCAGTTTTAACGGTGGGAGCGGGAGTGATCAGAAAACCCCTCCCCTGCCTTCACATTTTTATCTTCAGAACTTGTACAGATAAACATCTCATCCTCTCAATCTACAATAAAGTGCTTGAGCTAACACAAGAAACATAAAAACAAAGCAGTTACAAAACTACGTGTTCCACTGCTTACATGTCTAATTTCTGTAACAAGAGTTTGTTTCATGTAAAAATCCATGTTGGTGAATCTGTTACAGTGATCGGCCATAAGCCTTTTGCTAATTCTTCCATTTCCTTCCACACCAATACTTGAGGTTCAAGATAGGCAGGAAAATCAAACATCCATGTTCTTCTGAACCAATAAATAACAACAACTCAAACATAGAGTAAATTACCACTGATATTACAGAATAAGCAGAATTAAAAAAAAAAATAAAACATGAAGTGCTTCATGAGGAGTCTCTTGAAGCCCACAACACTGTCTCATAGTCCTGTCCATCCTCTTTCTCTTCTGGTAAAAAACAACTGATATCCTTAAAGATGGACTTTAGTTTTTATTAATGTTGATCAAATGGTTTTCCTCCATCATAGCATAAGAAAAAAAAATGCACTTGAAAGTGCATGCATTATGTTCACATCCGGTTTCAGCCTTTTGTTTCTGCATCCATTGTCATCTTTGGTTGTAAATTTGTGCATCAGTTGCTTGTCACAGTTCAGTCCATGATGCACTGGTATGATGATAAATACAGATGAAACCTATCAAGGTGCTGAAAAGTGCTTCAACTGCTACAGGAGAGAACAGCAGCTTTATGTGAATGCAAGTCAATAGTTTTAGGATGTGGTCCCTGTGTGTGTGCATGTGCGTTTGTGTGAGGGCTACTACTCGTAGAGTGTGACAGTGCAGTAGCAGAGGGCTGAGATCCTGCGGTCCACGCTGGCTTTGTCTGCAGGGAGAGTAAACAAAACAGCAACATATAAATAGAAGTCATTTAAGCAAACACTTAAATAAGTAAAATCAGTGAAGGCAGACTAAAAGGCTGCTAGATCTGCAGATTCAGCAAACTCTATTAACTGCACAGTTTTTGACCTTTGACCAGCAAAATCTATTCAGCTTTTTGTTGAGTCCAAGGGAATGTCTGTGCCAAATTTGAAGAAATTCCGTCAAGGTGTTTTTGAGGTATCACTTTTAAAAGGACGCGACAGATGCAAGGTCACGGTGACCTTGACCTTTGACCACCAAAATCCAAATCAGTTCATTGTTGATTGAAAGTGTGCAATTTGTGCCAAATCTGAACAAAATTACTTTCTTGAGATTTTGCATTCACAAGGATGGGATGGATGGACAGACTGATGCACGCACGAACAGACGTACGGACAACCCGAAAACATAATGCCTCCGGCCACAGCTATCGCTGGCACAGAGGCATAAAACATAAATGTAGCAGTGTCAGTGGTGGTGTTAGAGGACCGCAAAATGCCAAAATATTACTACAGCTGTTAATACTGGGTCATCTCAAAGCTGTACCATGACAGACATATGAGTGAATAGTTTGACTTTAACTAAGTCAAACAGGGTCTGAAATGAACCTTTTCCACTAATTGCCACTTTGTCTGCCACTTTTGAAATGTGTGTGCTCATTGAAGGAGTATTTAGATCATTCAGACTTCATTTAATGTAAAGAATGTCATTCAGTGTTTGATACAACCTCCACTTTACCAGCTGCAACATTAAAATGCTGAACACGTTAAAGCAACAATAATTATAATCCAAAAATATGTATTCTTCTCAAATGACCCATTCTGCAGGAGGAGTACTTTTACTTCTAGTATTTTAAGTAGGCCTTTATTTAAATGCTAATATTTATGTATTTTAATTTTTTAATGATTACACTTTAGTAATACCACCTTTACTTAAGTAAAAGATAAAGTACTCTTCAGACACTTGTAAATCACAGTGTTTCAATTACACCATGCCTTTTGAGGGAGCCCTATTTTGCGGGCGTGGAATGGTACTGTGCACATGCACGTGCATACATGAATGTGTCTGCCTATCTTTGGAAGCAAGACATGAGAACTTTTGTTGGGTCCTGAGGAGCTGCATTGTTTTATTTTTGAACAAACTGAAACCTACACTGTACATTTATTACCACTTGACAACTGAACTGCTATTTTCACCTCTGCTCTGGTCACCAACACCCATCTGCTCTGAACACATCCAGCATCACAGTTCCTGTCTGTCTCTCTCTGTCTCTCTCTCTGTCAATTTCAATTTCAAAGAGCTTTATTGGCATGACAGTTTAGAAACAATATTGCAAAAGTGATTCATAGTAATTTCAATACATGGATAAAATCAAATAAAGTATATAAAAAGAAAATAATAATAACAATAATTACAGATAAAACAGAATACACTAATAACAGTACATCAATAAATTAAATGGATCAGTTGTGTTTTCAGTTGGACATGGAGCAGGAGGATAGCTCATCTGTGATCACTGTCTGTTCTCTGAGGCTCTCACATGTTTTGATAAACTTTGCTGTTTCCAGGACAACATGTTTTCTCTCCCAGCAAGTACTGCATTTTCACTGCATCACCAGATCGAGAGAACTGTGTGAAGAGTTTGTCTCTGATGTCCGAGTATCTCCTGCAGTGGAGCAGGAAGTGCTGCTCGGTCTCTGGTTGGTTCTGCTGGCAGAGTGAGCACACTCTGTCCTCTGGACGCAGCCGGCTGTGTGTGAACTGCAGGCGGTCACAGTTCTCCTCAGCCTCTCATCCTGTAGCCTACTCAGGTACTCTGCTACACCGTACTCTCTCTTTAGAGCTGAGTAACACTGCAGCCTGCTTTGGTTCTGGATCTCATTTCTCCAGAAGTTGATGTAGCTGAGTTTATGTTGGTTGATGATCTGATTGGGGTGGTAGCAGGGCGTGGGGGTGTGGGTGGTATGTGTGGGGGCAGAGCTGAGTTTTAGTACTAACTGGCTAAGCTTGGTGTTCTCTATGGTCTCCTCTTGGCTTTGAGGTGTGGTGACCAGACGTCCCCGATTTCCGAGGACAGCCCCCGATTTGGGTGACCTGTCCCTGGTAAAAGCTGTCCCTGAAAATGTCCCCGATTTTGACACTGAATGGGGGGAAAATGCGTGCAGACTCAAACGCCAGTTATTACGGTAGTCAGTAAACGCATCGCCTGAGAAGACGTCGTATGACTTACAGACGTTATCAGGAAGCACGACCAGATGCAGCAGCATCAACAACAACAATCTAGAGGCAGCAAAAAGGAGAGAAAAGGAGACCGGTGGCCATGTTAAATGGTATGTTGTTATGAACTTATTTATTTTGCGTGAGCTGGCAGTAGACTTGACTGTGTGTGTGTGTGTGTGTGTGTGTGTGTGTGAAGTGAGGTAAAGTAAGTATGATTGTAACATGCAGTGCGTAACATGCAGGAGAGGAGATAGAAGGAGAAACTGGCTGAATGTAGTCTGTCCCCCTGATGAGTGACTTTTGTGAGTGCACTTTATAAATGTAGGCTATTCTTTGATTTTAATAAAGTAGCATTTTGTTGATGTTGTTTAGCCTTACTGATGCTGTTGCATGGGTGATACAGTTATTTTTCTTGTAATGAAAAAATCATATCTGCAGTAGAAAGTTGCACTTTGGAAATTTGGTTTGGTACAAAGTGGTACATGGTCTGAAAGGTTGAGGAACCTCTGATGTATGTCTAGCACATTTCAAACAGAGGCAATTACATAGAGTAGATAAAATAGAGCACAATGACTAAATTATTTAAGTATATTACCAAAACTGATGTTATTTCTTTAAGAAAATATTCACTTACTATTGGCTCTGTTCTTGCAGTTTTTCTCATGTTCTCCTCTGCTCTTATTCTACCCAGGCTCCTGAGGCGGAGGCTACGGAGGTGGATGAATGAGGGGATCATGGTGATGTCACCCATTTTTTTGATTGCCACCTCTTGTGTCATAAATATCAGTTCAGTATTCAGGTATGAGTAGAAACCTTCAACCAAAAAAAATCCATCCTCAAGCTAATAAGATTAAGATATTTTTGTCCTCCTCAGTGGATGGATGGTTGGTGATGTCACTCATTTGTTTGATTGCAACCTTTTGTGTAATAAAAGCTGGTCAAAATACACAAAAAAGTACTTGTCCCCGTTTTTTATTTCATAATGATAATATTTAATGATTTTTCACCGTCGCACTGAAAATGTCCCCGATTTTCATCTCAGAAATCTGGTCACCTTACTTTGAGGGGCTTTGTATTGATATGAGTCCGGGTCGCTTAATTTTAAGTGGTTGTAGAATTTTAGAGAGAGAGGTTTTTGGATTTGGATCAGAATGGGAAATCAGCCCAGTTCTGCTCAGCAGCCATTGTTGGGGGTGTTTCTACGTACTTTCAAAATGTTTCTGCACATTTCTACGTGCAGCGTTTCTATTGGGTGCTTGTCCCATTTCTTGAATTCTTGATTGTTGAGGGGACCCCATACTTCACTGCCATATAGAATAATAGGTTCGATTATAGTTTGCATTATTTTTATCCAGGTTTTAATGGGAATCTGAAGATGCGTGGAGTTTTTAATGGCATAGAAAGCCCTTCTTCCTTTCTCTCTGAGCTCATTCACAGTCAGCTTAAAGTTCCCTTTGGAGGAGATCCTCAGGCCCAGGTAGCAGTAGCTGTTTGTGGGCTCTATGTTGATGGATCCCAACTGGAACTGGGGCTGGTTTCCCTGACATCTGGTGCGTTTTTCAAAGATCATAATTCTGGTCTTTTCCATATTAACCGACAGGGCCCACATCTAGCAGAATCTTTGCAGATGATCCAGCTGCAGTTGGAGAGCATCTGCGGTTGGCGCAAGCAGGATCATATCGTCAGCAAACAGCAGACGTTTTATCTCGGTGTCACCTAATGGTACTCCGGGGATAACAGAAAGCTCTACGGATTTTGCCAGGTCATTTATATAAATATCAAAGAGGGTGGGGCTGAGGCTGTGTGTGAATCCAATCTGACTTCTACTCAGGATGTTATGTTGGTGGAGGAAGTCTTGTAGTCAGTGGTTGATGATGCTGCAGAGCAACTTTCCTAAATTACTGCTGATACATATACCCCAGTAGTTTTCCGGGTCAAGTTTGTCTCCATTTTTGAATATCGGTGTCAAGATTCCTTGGCTCCAGATGTCAGGGAAATAACCAACACTGAGAACAAAGTTAATTTTAGTATAGCACAGCATTTCACATGAGATACCATCAGGACCACTGTGTGTGTGTATATATATATACATATACATACAGTACAGGCCAAAAGTTTGGACACACCTTCTCATTCAATGCGTTTTCTTTATTTTCATGACTATTTACATTGTAGATTCTCACTGAAGGCATCAAAACTATGAATGAACACATGTGGAGTTATGTACTTAACAAAAAAAGGTGAAATAACTGAAAACATGTTTTATATTCTAGTTTCTTCAAAATAGCCACCCTTTGCTCTGATTACTGCTTTGCACACTCTTGGCATTCTCTCCATGAGCTTCAAGAGGTAGTCACCTGAAATGGTTTTCCAACAGTCTTGAAGGAGTTCCCAGAGGTGTTTAGCACTTGTTGGCCCCTTTGCCTTCACTCTGCGGTCCAGCTCACCCCAAACCATCTCGATTGGGTTCAGGTCCGGTGACTGTGGAGGCCAGGTCATCTGCCGCAGCACTCCATCACTCTCCTTCTTGGTCAAATAGCCCTTACACAGCCTGGAGGTGTGTTTGGGGTCATTGTCCTGTTGAAAAATAAATGATCGTCCAACTAAACGCAAACCGGATGGGATGGCATGTCGCTGCAGGATGCTGTGGTAGCCATGCTGGTTCAGTGTGCCTTCAATTTTGAATAAATCCCCAACAGTGTCACCAGCAAAACACCCCCACACCATCACACCTCCTCCTCCATGCTTCACAGTGGGAACCAGGCATGTGGAATCCATCCGTTCACCTTTTCTGCGTCTCACAAAGACACGGCGGTTGGAACCAAAGATCTCAAATTTGGACTCATCAGACCAAAGCACAGATTTCCACTGGTCTAATGTCCATTCCTTGTGTTTCTTGGCCCAAACAAATCTCTTCTGCTTGTTGCCTCTCCTTAGCAGTGGTTTCCTAGCAGCTATTTGACCATGAAGGCCTGATTGGCGCAGTCTCCTCTTAACAGTTGTTCTAGAGATGGGTCTGCTGCTAGAACTCTGTGTGGCATTCATCTGGTCTCTGATCTGAGCTGCTGTTAACTTGCGATTTCTGAGGCTGGTGACTCGGATGAACTTATCCTCAGAAGCAGAGGTGACTCTTGGTCTTCCTTTCCTGGGTCGGTCCTCATGTGTGCCAGTTTCGTTGTAGCGCTTGATGGTTTTTGCGACTCCACTTGGGGACACATTTAAAGTTTTTGCAATTTTCCGGACTGACTGACCTTCATTTCTTAAAGTAATGATGGCCACTCGTTTTTCTTTAGTTAGCTGATTGGTTCTTGCCATAATATGAATTTTAACAGTTGTCCAATAGGGCTGTCGGCTGTGTATTAACCTGACTTCTGCACAACACAACTGATGGTCCCAACCCCATTGATAAAGCAAGAAATTCCACTAATTAACCCTGATAAGGCACACCTGTGAAGTGGAAACCATTTCAGGTGACTACCTCTTGAAGCTCATGGAGAGAATGCCAAGAGTGTGCAAAGCAGTAATCAGAGCAAAGGGTGGCTATTTTGAAGAAACTAGAATATAAAACATGTTTTCAGTTATTTCCCCTTTTTTTGTTAAGTACATAACTCCACATGTGTTCATTCATAGTTTTGATGCCTTCAGTGAGAATCTACAATGTAAATAGTCATGAAAATAAAGAAAACGCATTGAATGAGAAGGTGTGTCCAAACTTTTGGCCTGTACTGTGTACACACACACACACACACACACACACATATATATACATATATATATAATATACAAAATATATAAGAAACTTTATAAATATATTTTGGTCTTTCTTTTGATATTGTATTGTATTTTGTGCTTTTGTGCTTGACTATTTGATGTATCACTGAGGCTGCATTTATGAATGATCCATATTTGTACTGTTTTTAATGTTAATCTGAACCAGCTGGTTTCTGTTGAAAGGGACACACACCCACAAACCATTGCGAGAATGTGTCGCCGCAAACGCGACAAACATCCACTGAACTTTGACGGCGTTTTCTGTGAGCACGGCTGAGCCATTTGTACCGCTACACGTTTCTAGTGGGACTAAGTTTACAAGCACAAGAGTTCAGCGAGCCACCGAAGGACCGCCCTGCAGATTTACTATTGGTTCTGCAACGTAGGGAGTTTTTTTAAACTCAGGGAGAAAGTCATCAGTCTTTAGTTAAGCAAAGCGTCTAAAGACTGACTTGTGAGTCTAGTCAGAACTTTATTGGTATCTAATGGCACAACAAAAATTACACCATAAATCAGAAATTCTTCATCAAAACCTCACAAAACCTATGTTTAAATTGGTCAATAGGGGCGCCACCATTTCAAAACATCTTGATTTAAAGTCCAACAAGTATATTCCCCATGTTGAACGGTCAGCTCTGTACATGACTTGTAAGACAGGTCGGGAATTTTTCTTATACCCAGATAGCTGTAATTTCAGGAAGACAGTGAATTTGACAAATTCTCTTAAATCATTCAGAAAAGCCAGTTGAGACCCAATCTGTCATTTAAACGTTTCCTGCATAAAGTCTGTTGTGAAGTACTGTGAGTGTGTGTGTGCCTCAGAGTTTGTACTCACACTTGACCACATTCTCAATGTCAGTGGGGTCCTGAAGGATCTTGGACAGGCCGTCCAGCAGCATTGCAGCCTTGCTGTAGCGGTACGCTATATCTTCTGTTTGCTTGAACATCTCATCCAGAGCTGCTGACTGAACCTGAAACACACATACAGCATCGCATTAGGCTGACCAGTATAGATTATTGCTGCACTTAACTGAACATATTGTTTGAAAAACCTGGTGTAAACGACTAGAATTAATACCAGACTACAGTCAATTTGTCACTCTAAGCCCTGAACATTTTTGTTTCTGTACTGTGTATGTGAGACTCACCATCTCCACAGCGTAATTATAGATGAGCTTCTCTGCAGTGACGCTGTTGATTTCGTCCACAAAACGCTGCTTATCGGAGAAGAAGTGGTTGAGTTTGTCAGTCAACTGCCGACAGAGGGAGATGCAGCTTTTGTAGCGCTCATTCAGACCCTTCACCACTGAGAGAAAACAAGATTTGGGATTGGTATTTTTGCATAAACTTGTATTTGAAAGTTAGAAATGTGTGAATAGACAGTAAATAATAAGTAAATAGACACAGCTAAGTTTTACATACTGTGTCTTTCTGCTGCTGATTAAATGCGTGAAAAGCATATTTCTCCTCTTTTCTCACCTATAGTTTCCATTTTAATGCATTGGTCAAGTGATGACAAATGAAATGTCCTCACCCTGTTTGACAGCAGTGGAAGGATTGAGCTTGGCTGATTTAATCTGAGCCTTAGCCAGATGGAGGGAGGAAGCCAGGAGCTGAGCTGCCTTCATATAGAGCACCAACTGCTCCACCTGCCTGTAGGGGGCAGCACAACCATACAATTTATACTGTGTAAGTACATACATAAAATACAGTAGAACACACAGTAGCAACACCAGTGAACAAAGAGCCTCCTCAGACAACATGACATCATTACCTATATGAGATTATCAGTGAGTCAGAAGAGATTTTATTCATTCCTTACCCCCACTCTTTGCTGAGCTGGCTGATCTGGTCCACAACCACACTGTCCTGTGGAGGGTAGAGGGAAGCGGCCGACACACCAAGCTCCGTCCCTCCAGCTCGCACTGCTGCCATCTCCAGTACACAGTCAGTGAATGAAAGTATCATCCTTAGGTGCATCAGGGTGTCTGTATGCTCCCGCTGGATCAGACATGACAAAGAGTAGAATTAAAACACAGAAGAAGATGAGAAGAGTGTACAAGTGAGTCATTAAGTTGTTTAAGGGCCTGTGTCCACATAGTGTTTTTGCCTTAGTGTCGATTTTTGTTTTTTCAATTGTTCCCAATGAGGAGAGCAAATACTGCCACCTGGAGAAAAGGTGCCACACCCAGCGTCGTTTTTTAGAGCACTCCAGCTGTTATGTGCAGCCCCTCCAAGCACTTCTAGTTGAAAATCTTTGAACTTTGCTTACAGGCGCTAGTGACATCATTGCCGCGTCTTTAGACACTATATGTCAGTCATAAATTATCACAACAAACACAGAAAAGGCTCCTCCGTGAACCGTCACCTTATCGTGGTGGAGGAGTTTGAGTGCCCTAATGACCCTAGGAGCTATGCTGTCGGGGGCATTTTGCCCCTGGTAGGGTTTCCCATGGCAGATTGGTTCTGGGCGAAGGGTCAGACGAAGAACGGTTCAAAAGACCCTTCATGATGGATACAAACAAGGACACGTGTACCCGGCCCGGAGGGTTACCGGGGCCCCGCCCTGGAGCCAGGCCTGGGGTTGGGGCCCGTGGGCGAGCGCCTGGTGGTCGGGCCTTCGCCCATGGGGTCCGGCCGGGCCCAGCCCGAACCGGCTACATGGGCTCGTCCCCCTGCAGGCCCACCACCCGCAGAGGGATCCAGAAGGGTTCGGTGCAATGTGGATTGGGCAGCAGACCAAGGCGGGGGCCTTGGCGGTCCGATCCTCGGTTACAGAAGTTGGCTCTTGGGACATGGAATGTCACCTCTCTGGCGGGGAAGGAGCCGGAGCTTGTGGAAGAGGTTGAGCGCTACCGGCTAGATATAGTCGGCCTCACCTCGACACATAGTTCCGGCTCTGGAACCCTAGTCCTTGAGAGGGGTTGGACTCTCTCCTTCGCTGGAGTTGCTCCGGGTGAGAGGCGGAGGGCCGGGGTGGGCTTTCTGATAGCCCCCAGACTCTCTGCCTGTACGTTGGGGTTTACCCCGGTAGACGAAAGGGTTGCTTCCCTGCGCCTTCGGGTCGGGGAACGGGTCCTGACTGTTGTCTGTGCTTATGCACCGAACAACAGTTCAGAGTACCCACCCTTTTTGGAGTCCCTGGGACGGGTGCTGGACAGTGCCCCGACCGGGGACTCCATTGTTCTGCTGGGGGACTTCAACGCTCACGTGGGCAATGACAGCGGGACCTGGAGGGGCGTGATTGGGAGGAACGGCCTGCCCGATCTGAACCCGAGTGGTGTTCAGTTATTGGACTTCTGTGCGGGTCGCAGTTTGGCCATAACTAACACCATGTTCAAACATAAGGATGTCCATCGGTGCACGTGGCACCAGGACAGCCTAGGTCGCAGGTCAATGATCGACTTTGTAGTCGTATCATTTGACCTGCGGCCATATGTTCTGGACACTCGGGTGAAGAGAGGAGCAGAGCTGTCAACTGATCACCACCTGGTGGTGAGTTGGATCAGATGGTGGGGGAAGACGCCGCGCAGACCTGGCAGGCCCAAACGAACAGTGAGGGTCTGCTGGGAACGCCTGGCGGAAGAACCTGTCCAGATGATCTTCAACTCCCACCTCCGGGAGAGCTTCGACCGCGTCCCGAGGGCAGAGGGGGACATTGAGTCCGAATGGGCCTTGTTCCGCTCTGCCATTGTCGAGGCGGCAGTTGCGAGCTGTGGCCGCAAGGCCGCTGGGGCCAGTCGCGGCGGTAATCCCCGAACCCGCTGGTGGACACCAGAGGTGAGGGGAGCCGTCAGGCTGAAGAAGGAGGCCTACAGGGCATGGTTGGTCTGTGGGTCTCCGGAAGCAGCTGACGGGTACCGGCGGGCCAAGCGGAGCGCAGCGGCGGCAGTCGTGGAGGCAAAAAATCGGGCGTGGGAGGAGTTCGGTGAGGCCATGGAGGAAGATTATCGATCGGCTCCAAAGAGGTTCTGGCAAACCGTCCGGCGCCTCAGGGGGGGAAGGCGGCAACTTGCTCACACTGTTTACAGTGGGGGCGGGGAGCTGCTGACGTCAACTGGGGACATTGTCGGGCGGTGGAAGGAATACTTTGAGGAGCTCCTCAATCCCACCAACACGTATTCCAGTGAGGAAACAGAGACGGGGGTCTCGGGGGCGGGTCGTCCAATTTCTGGGGCAGAAGTTGCTGAGGTAGTGAAACAACTCCGAGGCGGCGGAGCCCCGGGGGTGGATGAGATTCGTCCTGGATATCTCAAGGCTCTGGATGTTGTAGGGCTGTCCTGGCTGACACGCCTCTGCAACATTGCGTGGACATCGGGGGCAGTGCCTCTGGAGTGGCAGACCGGGGTGGTGGTCCCCATTTTCAAGAAAGGGGACCAGAGGGTGTGTTCCAACTACAGGGGGATCACACTCCTCAGCCTACCCGGTAAGGTCTACTCCAGGGTGCTGGAGAAGAGGGTCCGGTCGATAGTTGAACCTCAGATTGAGGAGGAGCAATGTGGTTTTCGTCCCGGACGCGGAACCGTGGACCAGCTCTTTACCCTCGCCAGGGTGCTGGAGGGGGCATGGGAGTTTGCCCAACCAGTCCACATGTGTTTTGTGGATTTGGAGAAGGCTTACGACCGTGTCCCCAGGGGCATCCTGTGGGGGGTGCTCCAGGAGTATGGGGTTGGTGGCCCCTTGCTAAGGGCCATCCAGTCCCTGTACCGAAGGAGCATGAGTCTGGTTTGCGTGGCTGGCAGTAAGTCGGACCTGTTCCCGGTGAGGGTTGGACTCCGCCAAGGCTGCCCTTTGTCACCGGTTCTGTTCATAACTTTTATGGACAGAATTTCTAGGCGCAGCCGAGTGGTGGAGGGTGTCAGGTTCGGTGATGGGAGGATCTCGTCCCTGCTTTTTGCGGATGATGTGGTCCTCCTAGCTCCATCGAACAGTGACCTCCGGCTCTCGCTGGGGCGGTTCGCAGCCGAGTGTGAAGCAGCTGGGATGAGAATCAGCACCTCCAAGTCTGAGGCCATGGTCCTCAGCCGGAAAAGGGTGGATTGCCCACTCCAGGTCAGGGGGGAGGTCCTTCCTCAGGTGGAGGAGTTTAAGTATCTCGGGATCTTGTTCACGAGTGAGGGTAGGATGGAGCGGGAGATTGACAGGCGGATTGGGGCGGCGTCAGCAGTGATGCAGGCGCTTAACCAGTCCGTTGTGGTGAAGAGGGAACTTAGCCAGAAAGCGAAGCTCTCAATTTACCGGTCAATCTACGTTCCAACCCTCACCTATGGTCACGAGCTCTGGGTAGTGACCGAAAGAATGAGATCACGAGTACAAGCTGCCGAAATGAGTTTCCTCCGCAGGGTGGCTGGGCTCAGCCTTAGGGATAGGGTGAGGAGCTCGGACATCCGGGAGGGACTCGGAGTAGAGCCGCTGCTCCTCCACATCGAGAGGAGCCAGTTGAGGTGGTTCGGGCATCTGGTAAGGATGCCTTCCAGACGCCTCCCTTGGGAGGTGTTTCAGGCATGTCCAACCGGGAGGAGACCTTGGGGCCGCCCCAGAACACGCTGGAGGGACTACATCGCCCGGCTGGCCTGGGAACGCCTTGGGGTTCCCGCGGAAGAGCTGACGGAAGTGGCAGGGAAGAGGACTGTCTGGGCTTCTTTGCTGAGGCTGCTGCCCCCGCGACCCAGACCCGGATAAGTGGAGGACAACGAGTACGAGTACGAGTACACAGAAAAGGTGGGAGAAGATCAGCTAGACACTGAATGTTGCTGGTGTTGTGCTTTTATCCCTGTACGCGTTGTAACCTTGTTAACTGTGTAGTAAACCCTCTGTAAATGCAGCATTACTTTAGCTACTTAGCTAACAGTAGTGTCAAGATATTGTGATAGAAAAAGCACCAGGGGCGCTTACTTTTATTTCTCCAGCGCTCTGCCACCGCTTTTCTACTGAAGAAAAATGCTATGCGGACACATGCCCTAATTGATCAATTTCTCGATTAAGTGAGGAAAAATAGACACCAAACTTTTGAACTCAAACCTCCTCACCTCCATGAGGGTCTCCTCAGGCAGCTCAGGGGCTTCAAATGTGATGAATCCCTCCAAGCTGGGAGGGGAGGTACCATAGGGAACATAGCGCAGGCTGCTGGGTGCCCCCTCAGTCCCGGGGACAGCCTGCCCGCCCCCAAAACCTCCTGGAGGAGAGGAGCCCATGGCCATGCCTGGAGGAGAACCGACATAGACCCGGCCACTAGTGGAACACAGGGAGCCAGCTGAACTGTTGGATCCCACTGAGAGAAAGATGGGAAGGGGAGAGATTAATTACATCTGACAAATACTACTTCACTAAGAAAACCTCACAGCCTTCTTGCCTCTAAGTGCTTATTTATTTGCATACTACCTCAGCTCAGGTGAACGGTCCTCACCTGAGGTGGTGCGTGGTCGTGTGCCCAGATGGCTGCACGTAGGAGGAGTGCTGCTGTTTGGTGGTGAACCCACAGTGAAAAGGACTGTACGGGGACTTGCTGACCCACCGGGAACATGGCCACTGGGACCTGCAGGGGCTTTGGAAGAAGCCATTTGACTGTTTTAATTCTTAAATGAAGATGAAGTTTAAATTAAGCTTCAATAATGATAATAACAATAATAATAATAATAATAATAATAATAAAACTAGAATTACAGCCTTGCAGTTCAGTTCTGTGAAAACATGGATGCTTCACACACATCAATTCAGTATCTCACCAAATGTCTCCCTTTCTGTTCCTGCATTACAGCACTGAATAATAGCAAGAAAAGTGTTTTATTCAGAACATAATGATGTCACAGTGAAGCTGATCTTTGACCTTTTGGATATAAATTGTAATCACTTCATCATTTTATGCTATTAGATATTTGTGTGAAATTTTGTCCTAATTAGTGTATGAATTCTTAAGTTATAGCCAAAAACAAATTTTTTTGAGGTCACAGCGACCTTGACCTGCTTCGACCACCAAATTCTGATCAGTTCATTCTTGAGTCCAAGTGGACGTTTGAGCCAAATTTGTAGAAATTCTCTTGAGGCGTTCTTGAGATATCGTGTTCACAAAATTGTGACAGACGGATGGACAACCCGAAAACACGGCTATTGCTGGTGCGGAGGCATGAAAAAGCATTAAATACACTGTATCACGAAGCAGTTTCATTCAGACATTATGTTTATGGGTCAAAGATGTGGCATGTCAATTCTGGTGTCCAAAGCATATTTATAATGTTAAAAATATATAAATATTTCAAAACATTACATTATGTTTCTCAACTCTCCCCTCTTTACTTACTCATATGAGTATTCACTATAAGAAATGAAAATTTAAGGAGCTATTGAGCTCAAAAGTACCAAATTGTCCTTCCTGGGTAACGTCCCCGCTTAAATCTAAGTACAAAAATATGCAAAAAATGTCAGAAATCTTAATAAAAGGATTAATTATCTACTGGGGCATAATTGTGTTAATGTTTGCAAT